CTGCGGGGCTGATGAGTGGGGGTGCATTTTGGGGGGCTGTGACTGCCTGGGGGTCCTGGTGACTCTGCCGTGCCTTCCGTCCCTGCCCAGCTCCTGCAGGGCCGGGGGTCCCCGTGAGAGTCACGGCTGGGGGGAGCTCAGGTGGGCTGTGGGCCGCCCCCACGGGGGCCGCACGGCTCGGCGGGGAGCGGGGGGTGCCGTAGACGGCGGGACCCCCCCACCGCCCCCGGGGCCTTCCGCGGGCCCCGGCCCCCCGCCCCCCACCCCTCCGAGCCAGCACAGCCAGGGGGGCTCGGGCTCTCGGGGGTTGGGGTCCCCCTCCAGGGCCCCCCTGGGGACACCCCCAGGCTTCCTGCGGGCACGGCGGGGGGCTCTGTGCCCCGGGACCTGCCACCCCCGTGTCCCCAGGCCCCCGTCACACCCCCGGGGAACGCGCCTGGGGCACGGGGGTGTTGGGGTGCAGCTCCCCAGGAGGGGCTGGGGGCGGGGACCCCCTGCTCGCAGGACGCGGTGGCCTCGTCCCTCCGTCACACGGCGCGTGGGGACACGGGTGGCAGCGGGAATCCCCGCGTGGGGGTGGCGGTCGTGACGCAGGAGCTGCCGTGTGTCCCAGTGCTGTCATCGCGTGTCACCGTGTGTCCCGGCACTGTCACCACGTGTGCCAGCGCCACCGCCGTGTGTCCCAGTGCCATCGCTCTGTGTCCCCGGGGCTGTGTGCCTCTGTCACTGTGTGCCACCGCGTGTCACCGCGTGTCCCGGTGCCATCACTGCGTGTCCCTGGCACCGTGTGCCCGTGTCACCGCGTGTCACCGCGTGTCCCGGTGCCATCAGCCCGTGCCCCAGCACGGCATGTCCCATCGCCCCGTGGCTGTTCCCGCTGCCCCACGAGGCCACGGCGGCTGGTGGCGCCTGGGGACAGAGGTGACGGGGCCTGTGTCCCGGGGGGCGGTGGCAGTGGGGGACACGTTCTGGCTGGGATGGGAACGCATCCCGGGTTGTGGGCACCGCACGGGTGGGGGGACACGCTGGCGTGTCCCCTGCGTGTCCCTGGCACAGGTGTGTCCCCTCGTTGCCATGGACAGCTCTGCCCCCACACCTGGGCCAGCTGGGGGTGCCGGGGTGCCCTCGGGGTGCCCTCGGGGTGCCCCGGGGCTGCCGGGGGTTGTGACATGTCCCAGCCCGTGCGGTGTCGCCCGAGGGCACGCACAGCCACAGCGGTGTCCCCGCGGTGTCCCCGCGTGCCGGGGGCCCGGGGGGCGCTGGGGGGCCGGGGGGGCAGCCCTGGCCGTGCCGTGGCAGCGGCAGCGGAGCAGCCTGGGAAAAATTTCCGCCCCAATAATTCCCGTCGGCTCCGGCGGAGCGCGGCTGGCGCGCCACGCCGGGGGTCCCGCTGCCGCCGGGGGTCCCGGGGCACGCAATGGGCAGGGGGCCGGGGTGGGGGGGTCCCCGGCACCCCCGGGCCGGCGGGGGCTGACCCCTGTCCCCCCCCCCACCCCGAGGATGCTGCCCGCGCTCCTGCAGCTGCTGCAGGAGTTCCCGGGCGCCTCCCCCGCGCCCCCCCGGGCCGGGCCGCCCCCCGGGCCCTGCCCCATGCCCGGGGTCCCCCTCTGCAGCGCCTGCCTGGGGCTCCGCCGCGATGGCAGCGGGCACGGACAGCGGGAGAAGGTACCGGTGCCGCCCCTTCCTGCGCCCCCGGGGACCCGGCCGGGCGGGCGGGGGTGCCGCGTGGGTGGGGGGCTCTGTGCCCACCCGAGACCTGGCGGGGGCTGTGGGGGCCTCGGGCCGAGTCCTCGGCACTATTCGCGAGGGTTTGGGGCTTACATAAAGCTCTGGCTCTGCATGGCGGGGGCACCCCGGCCCCCCAGGGGCCCCCTCGGGGCTGGGGGCCGATGGGGGGGGACTGTGCCCATCCCCTCCCTGTGGTGCAGCAGCAGATGGAGCCCCACGACGGGCCTGGAGGGGCAAGGGGACCCCCAGGGGGTGCAGGGGGCACCGTGACCCCCACAGGGCAGAAGGGAGGCTGTGACCCCTGTGGGACACAGGACGGGGGTCCGTGGGTCACCCCCTGTCACCTCTCACCCTTGCCCTGGGGCTGTGGTGGTGATGGACCCTGTGGACCACCCCAGGCACCCCCAAGGATGACCAAGACCCCTGGGGTTGTGCCCCCAGGACGTGCAGGTGTTCTGCACAGGGCCTGGCACGTGGGGAGGGGTCTGTGCCCTCCGGATGGAAATGCCAGGGGGAGGCCGTGCCCCCCGATGGGGGTGGCCAGGGCTGGGGGCACGGAGCTGGGGCCCAGAGCTGGGCCCAGGGCAGCATCGTGTCTGTGGCTGTTTGGGGTGGGAGCTGCCCTGGCGGTGTTTGTGGGGCAGGAGGGGGGGGCAGCTCTGTGCTGTGGGGGGGCTTTGTGCCCCTGTGCCCTCCAGCTGTTCTCCTGGCACCCCTGGTCACACGTGGTGGTGTCCCTGCACCCCTCATGGCCTGTGCTGGGGTCCCTCTGCACCCCCCAGAGTCACAGAACGTTGCTTTTGGGAAGGACCTTGAAGACCACGAGGTCCAGTGATGACCCAACGCCCCTGAGCCTGGTCCCCACCTGTCCCCAGGCTGGGCTCTGAGCCCTGCAGCAGCACTGCCCCCCTGCAGCCCCCCACGTGCCCCTCCTTGCCCTTTGGGGGTCCCACCTCACCCCAGAGTGTCACAGCACTGCTGAGGCTGTAAAGGCCCCCCAGAACTCCTGGGTCCAGCCCTGACCCACCACGGCCAAGGCCCCCAGCCAGGCCCCAGCACCACAGTGGTTGGGGTTGGGGTGGGAGGGGCTGCTCCCGTGGGTGTTGGGGTGCAGGGCTGAGCCCCTGTCCCCCCGGCCCAGGTGCTGTCCCTGGGTGCCGACGTGCTCCCCGAGTACAAGCTGCAGGCGCCGCGCATCCACCGATGGACCATCCTGCACTACAGCCCCTTCAAGGCCGTGTGGGACTGGCTGATCCTGCTGCTGGTCATCTACACTGCCATCTTCACGCCCTACTCGGCCGCCTTCCTGCTCAGCGACTCCGAGGAGGCGCAGCGCCACCACTGCGGCTACTCCTGCAGCCCGCTCAACGTGGTGGACCTCATCGTGGACATCATGTTCATCATCGACATCCTCATCAACTTCCGCACCACCTACGTCAACTCCAACGAGGAGGTGGTCAGCCACCCCGCCAAGATCGCCATCCACTACTTCAAGGGCTGGTTCCTCATCGACATGGTGGCCGCCATCCCCTTCGACCTGCTCATCTTCGGCTCCGGCTCTGAGGAGGTGATGTGGGGTGCAGGGTGCTGCTCTGGGGGTCCCACCCGTGCCCCCAGAGCTGGGGTGGGTGTGGGGTGGTGGGTGCTGCTCCTGGGTGCTGGCTCTGCCCGTGGGGGGTGCCTGGGGGTCCCACATGCACCCACCAGTGCCCCGGTGACCCCCCTGAACCTCCCTCCCAGACCACCTCTGCTCTGGATGGGACACTGGGGACACCTGGGGCTGCTGTGGGGAGAGGGGCAGGGGCTCATGGCACCTTCTGCCCTGCCAGGGGTCTGTGGGAGCTCTCTGCCTCTGCTGTCCTGGTGACCTCCCTTCCCCCCTCCCCAGACTCCTTCACCCTGGGGGACTCCTGGGCCAGGGGGAGCCCCCAGAATGGAGGTGCCTGGCTTGGGGCAGGGACCCCCCACCCTTTTGGGGTTCTGAGGGTGTCTCTTCACTCTTGTCCCCTCCCCTTTTCCTGTCCCCCAGACCACAACACTGCTGGGGCTGCTGGTGTGGGGCGAGGGCATGGAGCCCCCCTCTCCCCTCTGCGGCTCCTTGGGGTGTCCCCATCCCTGTAACCCTTTCCGTGCCGTTCCCCAGTCCATTGGGCTGAGGTGGGGAGAGAGCATGGAGCCCCCCTCTCTGTTCTGTGGATCCCCGGGATATCCCCACCCCCGTAACCCTTTCCGTGCCGTTCCCCAGTCCATTGGGCTGAGGTGGGGAGAGAGCATGGAGCCCCCCTCTCCCCTCTGCGGCTCCCTGGGGTATCCCCACCCCTGTAACCCTTTCCGTGCCGTTTCCCAGACCCCGAGCTCATTGGGCTGCTGATGTGGGGTGAGAGCATGGACTCCCCCTCTCCCCTCTGCGGCTCCCTGGGGTATCCCCACCCCTGTAACCCTTTCTGTGCCATTTCCCAGACCCCGAGTTCATTGGGCTGCTGATGTGGGGCGAGAGCATGGACCTCCCCCTCTCCCCTCTGCGGCTCCCTGGGTATCCCCACCCCTGTAACCCTTTCGGTGCCGTTCCCAGACCACGACGCTGATCGGGCTGCTGAAGACGGCGCGGCTGCTGCGGCTGGTGCGCGTGGCGCGGAAGCTGGACCGCTACTCGGAGTACGGCGCGGCCGTGCTGTTCCTGCTCATGTGCACCTTCGCCCTGATCGCCCACTGGCTGGCCTGCATCTGGTACGCCATCGGCAACGTGGAGGGGCAGCGCACGGGCTGGCTGCACGCGCTGGGACAGCAGATCGGCAAGCCCCTGAACGGCAGCTTCGGGCCCTCCATCAAGGACAAGTACGTCACCGCGCTCTACTTCACCTTCAGCAGCCTCACCAGCGTGGGCTTCGGCAACGTGTCCCCCAACACCAACTCTGAGAAGATCTTCTCCATCTGCGTCATGCTCATCGGATGTGAGTGCCCGGGCTGTGAGGGCTGTGGGAGTGTGTGCCTGCACACCTGGGTGTGTGAGAGCTGTGTGAGTAGGCTGTGAGGGCTGTGAGAGCGCGTGCCTGCACACCTGGGTGTGTGAGGGCTGTGTGAGTGTGTGTGTGAGTGTGTGTGTGTGCCTGCACACCTGGGTGTGTGAGAGCTGTGTGAGTGTGTGTGTGTGTGAGTGTGTGTGTGAGAGTGTGTGTGTGTGCCTGCACACCTGTGTGTGTGAGAGTGTGTGTGTGTGAGTATGTGTGTGTGAAAGTGTGTGTGTGTGAGAGTGTAGAGCTGCACACTGCGTGTGTGAGAGTGTGTGAGTGTGTGTCTGCACACTGGGTGTGTGAGTGTGTGCCTGCTCACCGGGTGTGTGTGAGCACCTGTGTGTGCAGCCAGGTGTGTGTGGGAGCCCCGGGGGCCTTGGCAACCCGTCCCCCAACAGCAGCTCCAGGAGATCTCCCTCTGCGTCAGGCAATGGGATGTGAGTGCCCATGGGCTGTGAGAGCACCTGTGAGTGTGCAGGGCTGTGTGTGTATGCTCACACCTGTGAGTGTGCAGGGCTGTGTGTGTATGCTCACACCTGTGAGTGTGCAGGGCTGTGTGTGTATGCTCACACCTGTGAGTGTGCAGGGCTGTGTGTGTATGCTCACACCTGTGAGTGTGCAGAGCTGTGTGTGTATGCTCACACCTGTGAGTGTGCACTCCTGGACGGGTGGGCTCAGGCATCTGAGGATTCCCCTGATGACTCTTGGCACCAGCGTGACGATGACGCCCCTCCATGACGATGGGGACCTCCGAGACAGTGGGGACCCTCACAGTTATGGGGTCCAGTGGCAGTGGGAACCCGTGTGGTGATGGGGACTGCTGTGACAGCGGGCACTCTGTGGTGATGGGGACACTCCCGTGGTGATGGGAGCTCCTGTGCTGATGGGACCCCTGTGACAAGGGGCACTCTGGTGATGGACACCCCCCTGTGACGGTGGGGACCCCCAGTGACAGTGGGAACCCTCCACGATGATGGGTACCTGGCAGCAGTGGGGGTCTGGGGAGGTTTGTGGGGGTTTGGGGGTGCTCAGCCCCCCGGGATGCCCCCCAGCACCGACGTAGGGCAGCATCCTTGGGAGCACCTCGGCCGGCACCCGCTGCTCGTGCCTGGGGACGCGGGGACCCTGCAGGCCGGGCCAGGGGCTGGCGGCGGAGGTTTGGGGGGCTCGGGGGTGCAGAGCCGCCCTGACGCTGCCCCCCCAGCGCTGATGTACGCCAGCATCTTCGGGAACGTGTCGGCCATCATCCAGCGGCTGTACTCGGGCACGGCGCGCTACCACACGCAGATGCTGCGCGTGCGCGAGTTCATCCGCTTCCACCAGATCCCCAACCCGCTGCGCCAGCGCCTCGAGGAGTACTTCCAGCACGCCTGGTCCTACACCAACGGCATCGACATGAACGCGGTGAGGGCCCTGAGAAACCCGAAAAACACCCCAAACCCCCCTGGGACCCCTAAACCCCCCATGGCCTCAGCCCCTCTTCCAGCACGCCTGGTCCTACACCAACGGCATCGACATGAACGCGGTGAGGGCCCTGAGAAACCCCAAAAATACCCCAAACCCCCCTGGGACCCCAAAACCCCCAGCCCTCTGCCCCTCTTCCAGCACGGCATCCACATGAACGCGGTGAGAGCCCAAAAACACGCCAAAAACACCCCCAAATCTCCCCTGGGACCCCTAAACACCCCCAGCCCTCAGCCCCTCTTCCAGCACGCCTGGTCCTGCACCAACTGCATTGACATGAACGTGGTGAGACCCCCAAAAACACCCCCAAACCCGCCTGGCCCTCAGCCCCCCTCCTGAGGGGGCATTTCCAGCACGCCTGGTCGTGCTCAGCAGCATCAGTGTGACCATGGTGAGACCCCCAAAAAACCCCAAATCCCCACGGGACCCCCAAACCCGCCTGGCCCTCAGCCCCCCTCCTGAGGGAGCATTTCCAGCACGCCTGGTCCTGCACCAGCAGCATCAGTGTGACCACAGCGAGACCCTCCGGGACCCCTAAACCCTGCCACGCCCCCGATCCCCGGCAGCCCCAAAGCGCTGTGGCCCCCTGTGACCCCCCGGTGCCCCCCAGGTGCTGAAGGGGTTCCCCGAGTGCCTGCAGGCCGACATCTGCCTGCACCTGAACCGCAGCCTGCTGCAGAACTGTGCCCCGTTCCGCGGCGCCACCAAGGGCTGCCTGCGGGCGCTGGCCATGAAGTTCAAGACCACCCACGCCCCCCCCGGGGACACGCTGGTGCACGCCGGGGACGTGCTCACCGCGCTCTACTTCATCTCCCGCGGCTCCATCGAGATCCTGCGCGGCGACGTCGTGGTCGCCATCCTGGGTGAGCCCCCAGGAGCGGCCCGGGGGTCCCGCAGTGCCCCGCGGGGGGTCCTGCCAGCCCCCCAGGGTGGCACCCCATCTCCTGGAGATCCCCCCCGGTGCTCCTCGGGTGACACCCCACCTGCCTCCCGAGGGATCCCCCCCATCCCGGGACCCCCCAGTGCTGGGGGAGAGCCCATCCTGACCCCCACCTTTTGGGGACCCTCCTGCCCCCCGGGGCCCCCCAGTCCTGTGCACAACGCGAGTGCCCCCCCGGTGGCTCCCAGGCACGCCAAGCGACCCCTGCACCTCCCGGATCCCCCCAGCTTTGGGGTCACCTTGAGTGCCCCGGGGTCCCCCAGCCCTGGTCACAGCCGAGTGCCCCGAGGTGACCCCTCCGTGCCGGGTGTCCCCCCAGCTCCCCCAGGTCACAGGGACACTTTGGGGGCCGCAGGGGCGGCCGGGGCCGCGCAGGCCCCCTGAGCCCCCGTGCCCCCCAGGTAAGAACGACACCTTCGGGGAGCCGCTGCACCTGCACGCCCGGCCCGGCAAGTCGCGGGCGGACGTTCGGGCGCTCACCTACTGCGACCTGCACAAGATCCTGCGCGAGGACCTGCTCGAGGTGCTCGACATGTACCCCGAGTTCTCCGACCGCTTCTGGGGCACCCTCGAGATCACCTTCAACCTGCGCGACGTGAGGGGGGGCCCGGGGGGTGGGTTCCGAAACGGGGGGGCCCGTGCAAGCCGGGAGCTCCTAGTGAACCGGGGGGACATGGAAAAGGGGTGGTCCTGAACAAACAGGGGGTTCAGAGCGAGCTGAGGGGGGTCCTGAGCAGTTTGGAGGGTCCTGAGCAAACTGGGAGTCTCGAGGAAGTTGGGGGAGTTTGAAGCAGGTTGTTGGGGGGTTTCAAGCAGTCTTGGGGGATTCTGAGCGAGCCAGGAGAGCCTCGGAAGAGGCTGGGGGTCCTGAGAGAGGCTGGGGGTCCTGAGCAAGCTGGGGCTCCTGAGAGAGGCTGGGGGTCCTGAGCAAGCTGGGGGATTCTGTGCAGTTTTGGGTGGGGGGTCCTGAGCAAGGGAGGGGGCGCTGAGCAAATTGCGAGGGGCTGAGAGCTCTGGGGGGTCCTGAAGAAGCGGGGGGGTCCGGCAGCCCCCCGACTGTGCCCCCGTGTCCCCGCAGACCAACATGATCCCCGGCTCCCCGGGCAGCGACGAGCTGGACGCGGGCTTCTCCCGGCTCCGGCGCCGCAAGCTGTCCTTCCGCCGGCGCCCCGAGAAAGGTGGGGTCGGGGGGCCGGGACCCCCGGGGTGACCCCGGGGTGGCCCAGCCCTGACCCCGGTCTGTCCCCTGCAGATGCCGCCAGTCCCGGGGAGTCCCGGGCGCTGCGGGGGGACGGCGGGGGGGGCCAAGCCCCCGGAGCCCCCCGAGGCCCGGCCGAGTGGGACCCCCCCAGCCCCTCCAGCTGCGCCTCCAGTGACGAGGAGGAGCCCCCCGCGCCCCCTCCGGGGGCCACCGCGCTGTCCCCGTTCCGCAGCGCCCCCCCGGCTCCCCCCGAGCCCGAGGAGCGAGAGGGCAGCGATATGTGCAACCCCCTCTCAGGTGGGCCGGGGGCTCAGCGTGGGGGCGGCCCCTTCCTCCCCTCCTCACCCGGGGCTCGGAGGACACCCCAAACCCTGGCGCTGCTGTCCCCAGCCCTGCCCCCACCCCATCCCCTGTCCAGCGCCTGCCACTGCCCCCCTGTGCCCCCCTCAGCTGGGCTTGGGGAGTCCCCCATTCCTTCCCTCCCCACTCGGGGTCCTGCAGACCCCCAGAACTGCAGCACACCCTGGCTCCCCAGCCCCTGACCCCCCTCTCACACTGCCCCTGCGCCCCTGGAGCCCTCAGGTGAAAGGTGGGCTGGGGGTTCCCTGCTTCTGTTCTCCTCTCTCAGGGTTCTAGAGCTCCCCCCAAACCTTGAACCCCCCATTCTCAGCCCTGCCCCTCAACTGCCCCTGCACCCCCTCAGGTGGGGATAGGGGTCCCTGGTTGGGCCCCCCTGTTGGATAGGGGGTCCATATCCTCCCCTCCCTGTTTAAGGCTGTGGAACCCCCCAAAAGCCCCAGCTCCTTTTCCAGGCGCCTTCTCGGGGGTCTCCAACATCTTCAGTTTTTGGGGTGACACCCGGGGCCGCCAGTACCAGGAGCTCCCCCGTTGTTCCCACGGGCCCCCCCCAAATCCCCCCCCAACCCTGACCCGCCGCCAGCGCTCCGACCTGGAATCCCGCTTGGATCTGCTCCAAAAACAGCTCAACAGGTAAATCCGGGGGGCCCGGGTGGGACCCCCTGGGAGCCCCCCATTGCCAAAGGGGTCTGGAGAACCGTGAGCAGGAAAAGAAGGAAGGGGAGACCCCCAGGCCAAGCTGAGCCCCCCGAGCCACCTGAGAGGAGAGTGGGACAGGGGGGTGCCGGGGTCCTGGGGCAGGGGAGGGGTGGGCTGGGGGTCTCACGGCGTGGCTGCCCCGCAGGCTGGAGTCCCGGCTGAGCACGGACATCTCGTCCATCGTGCAGCTGCTGCAGCGCCAGGTGCTGGTGCCCCCCGCCTACAGCGCCCTGAGCTCCCCGCACCAGCCCCCCCCGGGGCCGCTGCCCCCCGCCCTGCCCGTCACCCCCATCCGGCCGCTCGCTCAGGTGAGGGACCCCGCTCACCCGGGCTGGGGGCGTTCCGCTGGCGGGCTCTGTGGGTTGGGGTCACCCCGGAGCCCCCCGGGCTGGGGTGTGCCGGGTTTGGGGGGCGTCACTTGGTCTCGCTGTCCATCGTGGGCTGGGGTCTCCCCCGAGCCCCTCGGACTGAGGGTGCCGCCCGCCGTGCCCTCCTGCCCCTCGGTGCGCGGGGGTCGCCCCCGGGTGTGCCGGGGGGGCGGGGGAGGGCGGGGAGGGGAACGGGGGACCCCTCACCCCAGGCTCAATGCTCCCATCCCCGCTGAGGTGGGACAGGGGGGTGCCGGGGTCCTGGGGCAGGGGAGGGGTGGGCTGGGGGTGCCGGGGGCTTTGGGGGTCCAGAGAGCCCTGGCTGGGGAGGGGAACGGGGGACCCCTCACCCCAGGCTCAATGCTCCCATCCCCGCTGAGGTGGGACAGGGGGGTGCCGGGGTCCTGGGGCAGGGGAGGGGTGGGCTGGGGGTCTCACGGCGTGGCTGCCCCGCAGGCTGGAGTCCCGGCTGAGCACGGACATCTCGTCCATCGTGCAGCTGCTGCAGCGCCAGGTGCTGGTGCCCCCCGCCTACAGCGCCCTGAGCTCCCCGCACCAGCCCCCCCCGGGGCCGCTGCCCCCCGCCCTGCCCGTCACCCCCATCCGGCCGCTCGCTCAGGTGAGGGACCCCGCTCACCCGGGCTGGGGGCGTTCCGCTGGCGGGCTCTGTGGGTTGGGGTCACCCCGGAGCCCCCCGGGCTGGGGTGTGCCGGGTTTGGGGGGCGTCACTTGGTCTCGCTGTCCATCGTGGGCTGGGGTCTCCCCCGAGCCCCTCGGACTGAGGGTGCCGCCCGCCGTGCCCTCCTGCCCCTCGGTGCGCGGGGGTCGCCCCCGGGTGTGCCGGGGGGGCGGGGGAGGGCACCCCGAGCCCCGGGTGGCGGTGCCCCCCACACTGACCCCCCCGTTCCGCAGGTCCCGCGCCCCCCGCGCGCCCCGGACCCCCCGGACGTGGTGCTGCTGCTGGAGCCGCCCCCCCCGCGGCGCCGCTCCCTGCCCGGGGCGCTGCCCCCCCCCCCCGGGGACCCCCCCGGGGACCCCCCCGCTCCAGAGACACTGCTCCGACCCCGGCAGCTAATGGGAGCGCCGGGGCGCGGCGGGACCCCTGGAGCCACGGGACCCCCGACCCCGGAAAGCGGGACCCCCGCAGCCCTCGGACCCCAGGACGTGGGACCCTGGAGTCCTCAGACCCCGAGACGCGGGACCCCCAAAGCCCAGGACGCGGGACCCCTGACCCCGGCGTGTGGGAGCCCCGGACCCCTCGGCCCGCAGCCCTGGACGCACCAGCGGGGACCCCCGGAGTCACAGGACCCCCGGCTCCGACCCTGGGAGCCCTGGAGCCCTGGGACCCCCGGCCCCCGAATGTGGGACCCCCAGAGTCCTCGGAGCCCCGCACCCTGGCACCTGGGACCCCCGGGACCCCCGGAGCCCGGCACATGGGACCCCCGGAGCCACAGGACCCCTGTCCCCAGCATGTGGGACCCCCAAAGCCCAGGCCGTGGGACACCCAGAGCCCTGGGACCCCTGACCCCGCAAGGTGGGGACGCAGAGCCCCCAGCCCTGGGGTCCCCAGAGCCCTGCCCGGGCCCCGGCTGCCCCATGGACACTGCCCTCGGTGCCAGCGGGGGGCTCGGGGCCGCCGGGACCCCCGTATCCCACCTCATCCTGGGGCCCCCTGCCCCGGACTGTCAGACTGTGCTGCTCTTCCTCCTCCTCCTCCCCCTCCTCCTGCCCGAGCCCCGGGGCGGCGGGGGGTGCACAGGTGTGTGTGTGCACAGGTGTGCACAGGTGTGTCCCCGGTCCTGTCCCCAGGACGTCACGTGTGTGTCGGGGGGTCCCGCTGCGCTGGGACACGCGTGTTGCCCCCCCGTCTGTGTGTGTATGTGTGTGTGTGTGTGTCCCCGCCGTGTCCCCACCGTGTCCCCCCGCCAGGACCCCCCAGTGGCGTGTGGGGCCCGGTGGGTCCGTGTGTGCCCCCCGTGTCCCCCGGGACCCCCGGCTGAGGGAGGGTCGGGACCCTCCGTGTGCCCCTCCCCGTCCGGCCGGGCCGCGCGTCCCCGAGCCCCCCGCACAGCCGGGTGACACGCGGCAGTGTCACCCCCCGCACAGGGAGGGGACGCAGGGCTCGAGGGGCTGCCCCTGCCCGGCCGCCCCGTAGCGCGTGCTGTGTTTGTCCCATGTCACCCTGCATGTCACCCCCGCGTAGGTGCCCCCAATAAACCAGACAGAGACCCCGGCTCTGTGTGTCACCACCTGGGAGCTGCGGGGGAGGGACAACGACCTCAGATGTCACCGCGGTGAAACCTTGTGACACTGGGGACTGGCTGGGGCATCCTGGTGGCCACAGCATCGGCAGAGACACGGGGACAGAGGAGGTGGCATCGCCTTTAGTGAGCGCAGCACACGGCATCATGTGACATGTCCCTGTGACACTGGGGTCCCGTGTGGTGGCAGAAGGGGTGGCACCACCTTTACTGAGCCCGACGGGTGGTACCGTGTGTCACAGTGTGACGTGAGCCATGCCACGGTGTCCTGGTGGCACCAGTGTCCTCGTGGTGCCAGTGCCAGCAGCGGAGGTGACATTGCCTTTACTGGCACGTGGCACTGTGTGACACTGTGTGACACTATGTGTCACTGTGTGGTGTCCCATAGCCAGTGTCCTGGTGGCACCAGTGACCCACATGGTGAGGAAGGGTTGGCATGGCCTTTACTGAGCCTGGCAGGTGGCACAGGGTGACACATCCCACACCGCAGTGTCACTGGGGTCCCGCACGGTGCCGGGGTCAGAGGAGGGGACACCGCCTGTGCTGGGCCTGGCACGTGGCAGCGTGTGACACGGTGTGACGTGTCCCACGCCCCCGTGCCACCAGCGTCCCCATGGTGCCGGGGTCAGGGAGGTGACACCGGCTCTGCAGCATCTGTCCCGCGGCACACGGCCCAGCCCCGGCTGCTGTCCCCGTGTCCCCGGTCACACCTGGCGGTAGGTGCCGTTGTAGCTGAAGGGCTCGGGGTGCACGCAGGGCCCGGGGCTGGCCGGGGTCCAGCGCTGGATCTGCAGGCGGGAGCAGGCCGGGGGGTCCAGGGGCCGCACGATCACCGGGGCTCGCGACGCCACCGACGGGTCCTCGTTGAAGAAGTTGAAGGGGCGCAGGAAGAAGCCGACGGCGTTGCCGGGGGTGGCCGTGTTGGGGATGTCCTCGGCGTGGGGCACATGCAGGAAGCCCACGGTCACCCAGGCCACCAGGTCCTGGGGGGACACACCGCGGTGTCAGTGGCACCATGGACTCCCCACGGGAGTTGGGGTGACCCTCTGGAGCTGGGCAGCTCCTGAGAGCTGGGGAGCCCCCAGAGGTGACCCCACTCTGGGGACGAAACCCCCCGGCCCCTCAGCAGCCCCGCGTGCCCCGTGCCCCCCCGTGTGTCACCTGGTCCTCGATGGTCTCGTTGTCGCGGATGAAGCTCTCGAAGGTGACCGGGGGGTCCCAGGGGTTGTTCTGGGTGTAGATGCTGCTGCTGCTCGGCTCGTTCTCGTGGCGCCGTGTCACGGCCAGGTGGTACCTGCCACAAGTGAGGGTGGGGTCAGCCTGGGGGCGGGGGGTCCTGTCCCACCCTACCCTGGTCCCCGACTGTGCCACCCATGGCCCAGTCACGTCAGGGGGACACAGGGCTGGTGAGGGGCGTGAGGGTCCCCAGCTTTGTGTGCTCCTGAGCTCCTGAGGGGATCCCCAAGTCCAGGGGAATTCCCCAGGTCCCCTGAGGGTCTCCCCACCTCTGGAGGGGTTTCCCTCGGAGGATCCCCAGATCTTGAGGGGGTCCCCATTTCCAGGGCTTCCTCATCTCCCAAGGTGTTTCACAGCTCCCAGAGACTCTTCAGCTTCCAGGAGCTCCCCATCTCCAACAGCCCCTCAGCCCCGGGGTGTCCCAAACTCCCAGGGGAGTTTCCCCAGCTCCAGGGGAGTTTCCCCAGCTCCAGGGGAGTTTCCAGTTCTGGAGGTTCTCCCACTCCCAAGGACCTACTCCAGCTCCAGGGCAGGATGGGGAGGTGCCAGCAGGGCGAGGTGCCACCCCAGGAAGGCGTGACCAGGGCAGGGACACCGTGCCCCCGCAGGTGACACACCTGGTGACGCTGGAGTCCCCGTGCAGCCCCGTCCCCACGCTGGAACCCCTCGGTGCCCACCTGGCCCAGGTGACGCCGCGCTCCTCACGCCAGCCGCGGGGCAGCACGGGCCCGGCGTGGGAGCTGAGCTGCAGGCGGAAGGTGCGGCGGTGGCCCCAGCGGTTCCGCCGGCGCGGGTTGGAGAAGAGCAGGTAGCGCGGCGCGGGCCGGTCCAGCGGCAGCGCGGCCTCGCGCTCCCGGCGCCGCGGCTCCCGGTGCAGCCACGGCTGCACCACGCGCGCCCCCGCGCTCCAGGGGTTGGAGATGTTCTCGAAGCGAATGTCCATCGTCTCGAAGCTGTTCCCGGAGCCTGCGGGGACCGGGCGTCGGTGAGGGGACACGGTGGCACAGCCCCACCCAGTGTGAGGGTGGGACACCGCCGAGGTGCCGCCCCGGAGGGGTGGGACACCGCAGGGCGTCACCATGGATGTGGACTGGGACCTCATGGAGATGCCAACGTGGAGGGCTGAGATGCCACCCCCATGGAAGACTGTGACCCCACAATCAAGCCATCATGGTGGGCTGGGGCCCAGTTTGGTACACCACCATGGAGAGGAGGGCCTTTGAGGAGATGCCACCACGGAGAGCTGGAACACCTTGGAGATGCCACCAAGGTGGGCTGGGACACCTTGGCAATGCCACCACCACCACCACAGGGGGCTGAGGCACCAGCAGATGGTACCGTGGATGTGGCCTGGGAAATATCACCCATGGGGGGCTGGGACTCCACAGAGATGCCACTGTGAGGGGCTGGGACCCCAGGCAGATGCCATCACTCATGGGGGCCTAGGACCCTGCAGAGATGCCATAGAGGGCTGGAGCCCCAGATGTCACCAGGGCTGGGAGATCCCACCACCACGGACAGATGTGACCCTGCAGAGATGCCACCATGGAGGGGATCATCACCTGAGGGTGCGGGTGATGCCCAGGCGGTACCACCCTTCCAGAAACAAGGCACCTCAGCCCCAGGAGCCCCCCATGGGTCCAGCCTCTCTCCCAGCACCCTCCCCATGGCCAGGGGGTGTCGGGAGCCGCCAGGGCCCTTCACCTGCGACATCCAGGTCCACCTTGTAGTGCACCAGGTGGGTGTGGATGTTGCCCAGGAGGTGGCTGTGCACGCGGCTGCCGTAGCGCCGGCCCTCCGGCGTGTAGAAGGTGGCGTGGATGTAGCCGGTGGCGTGGACCTTGGTCTCCAGGACGCCGTTGGGGTAGAGCAGGAAGTCCCAGATATAATCATAGTTGTAGACGGTGGAGGTGGTCCTGAGCACCAGCGCCCGTCCCTCCAGCCCCGCGTAGAAGTGGAAGCCGCCCTGGAAGTCGCTGTCGAAGTGGCGGCGCAGGGGCACGCCCGTGGGCAGCTCGAAGACGCAGAGGGCGTGGCGGAAGCGCACGGGGCCGTCGGCGTCCAGGAGGTGGTGGGCGTCCAGGAAGGCGGCGGTCTCGGGGCAGTCCACGCCGCGCGCCAGCTCGTAGCCGGAGGCGCCCATGGCCCAGCCGGCGTCCATGTACTTGGTCTGCATGGCGGCCGGCGAGTGGCCGCCATAGAAGGCGATGGCCTCCTGCACGCTCAGCTCGTAGGCCACGCGCTCGCCGCCGAAGCGCACGTCGAAGAGCTGCAGGCCGGCCGAGGAGCGCAGCCGGAAGGCCAGGCTCCAGCCGCCGTACTCCAGCCGGTTGCCGCGCAGCCGGTAGCGCCGGCCCTGCGGCTCGCACACCTTGGCGCCGTGCACCTCGGTGGGGGTCCCGCTGGGGAAGCGCCCGCGGGGCTCGTAGCTGGAGAAGAGGTGGCGGGCGGGGGGCTCGGGCAGGCGGGCCAGGGGCAGCGCGCCCCGCGCGTGGCTCTCGGCCAGCTCCCGCACGCTGCCGAAGTAGCGCCCGTTGTACCAGAGCCGGCGCACGGCCCAGCGCCGCGGGTCGGGGTCCCGGTGGTCCAGCAGCACCTCCAGCCCCGCGGGGTGCAGGAAGAAGCCCTCCACGAAGCGCTGGATCACCAGCCAGCTGCGGCGCTCGCCGGGGCCCAGCCCGCGCGGGGCGATGTCGGAGAAGGTGAGGCAGCGCTCGGAGCAGTTCTGGAAGCCGAAGCCGGTGGCCTCGAGCAGCAGCGGCTCCAGCGGGGCCATGGCGGCCACCAGCGCCTCGTGCAGCAGCTCGTACTCCAGCCGCGTCATCGGCCGCGCCCAGAAGGGCACGGCGCGGCCGCCCTTGAAGGCCAGGGCCCGGTAGGAGCTGGGGCGCGGCAGGGGCCCCACGGCCAGCTCGGTGACGTTGGGCTCCGCTTGCGCCCCAAAGAAGATGACGGCCCGAGCCTCGCGCCGCGGGCGCGCCCCGCCGTGCTCCAGGAACCGCAGCGCCCAGCGCTTCTTGGGGGGCAGCAGCTCCACCAGGAAGAGCGAGTTCTTGGCCAGGGGGCCCCCCCGGCTCGGGGACAGCCCCAGCTCCGGCCGCTCCATCAGGAAGGTCCGCACGGCCCGCAGCTCCGCCGGGGACAGGTCGGCGAAGATGGACGCGGGGTCCGGGGGCTCGGCGGAGGGGCCCGAGGAGGCCGCGGTGACCAGCAGGGCCAGCGCCCAGGGGAGCCCCAGCTGCCACATCCTGGGGGACACGGGGACGGGGGTCAGCCCCGGAGAGGGAACGGGGCACGGCTGAGCACCCCCCACTCCAGCAGTGCCACCAGCCCAGCAAAGCTGGGGCGACCACGGGGTGACCCCCGGGACCAGCGGGGGGACCAAGGCAGGACCCCCAGCACAACTGGAACCACCACGGGGAGGAGCAGAGCACCCAGAAAAAACAGGCGGACCGTGGGGTGACCCCCAGTGAAAGCAGAGACACCATGGGGTGACCCCAGGGGAACTGGGGACACCATGGGGTGACCCCCGAGAACTGTGTGACCCCCGAGAGCTGTATGACCCCCAAAAACCTCCCCCCAGCCCGTCAGCACCCCCAAAACCCTCTCTCAGGGCGGCTGTTGAACCCCAGCCCAGCGCTGAACCCCCTGGGTGGGCCTGGGGAGCCCCCAATGTCCGGGCCCCTACATGACCCCCCACCTCAGGGAGCCCCCCACGCCCCCCACTCACCCGCGC